ATTGCCTTTTCTCTTTTACTTTCCTTTTTAGTTTTATTTTAGGATTCCCTATTTTTAATGTTCATACAGAGATTTCTTTAACTGAAATACCGAATAGTTTCTTTGGTGTGAAAAACTATAATAGTACACAGGATCCTAATGAGATAATTAATAATGTGAAATAGGAAGTAAAGGGCTAAAGATGTAGGGAAATTGGGAAGGGTGGGGGAAAGGAAATAAGGGAGAGGAAAAAAATATGAGAAACTGAAAAAATTGAAATAAAGTGTTTGTAAATGGGGAGGGTAGGAGGGGGTGAAGGGAGGGCAGGGAGAAGGGGAAAAATGAGAATCAAGACCTATTATGTAAAGGTACAGAATCCCAGTGATGAATGTAATTGTATTGAATACCTAGACTGTACCAATAAACTCAATAAAAAGAAAAACAAAACAAAACAAAACAAAAAGAAACTACATTACTTACCGTCCACGGTCACTTGGATTAACAGCAACTAATGCTCCTCTATCCCAAATCCTGTCAAATTTACCAATATTTGCCCTACAAGAAAAAAAAAAAAAAGGGAAAAAACTGTAACATCTTATGGACAAAAAGTCAAATCTTGAACGAGCTGAGCAGGGGTGCTCCCTGTGGCACACGCTGGCATTTCACCAGTTCTCAGAAATGAGGACCTACTGTGTGCCGCGGGGCCATGCTCCGAGGGTTAGGGTCCTGTGGCAGCCACCTCACATTCTACTAGGATTTGGGAGCAGAAAGGAAAAATAAGGAGAAGATGCGGCTCAGGGGGCAGGGACACTGGGGTGGGGTCCTGCCTCCCATAGTGATTGCCCCAGTTAAGGTAGGAGACACATCTTTCTCTCCCCACCCCTTCCTTTCTTCCGCTGTGTTGTAACACTGTTTCTCTTGGTTTTGGAGCTGTCCACCCACAAACATGTGGAGTACAGGGAACAAGGCTGGAATAAAAAGAACTGCAGAACAGACTCTGACAGTGGCTTCTGCACAGATGGACGGCAGGGATGGAAGGGACCCTGTCCCACCCCACTTAACAAGCACCCACAGTTTTAAAAGTGCAGATACCTTACTTGGTCCTACCTGGGAAGATCGAAAATGCTGCAGCAGTACAGTGAGATGTTTCCTGAAGAACTCTGTAATAAAACCATGAAAAAACTGTTTCCTACTTCGTTAGGAGATACTTGCCTGGCCAAGGAAAGAAGACACGGGCCAAGCAAAGCAGAGGTGGTAGAGAATGGAGTGAATATTAAACACGATAACTTTCCTGTAGTTTGACAGTACTTTGCTTTTTCTTTTAAAGCTTGTGTGGGGTTCTAAAGTACTCTGGGAGGCTGACGCAGGAGGACTGCAAGTTTGAGCCAAGCCTGGGCAATTTAGTGATTTAATGAAACCCTGTCTCAAAATGGGCCAAGGAGGTAGTTCAGTGTGAAGACCTTTGGTTCAAGCCCCCAAACCACACACAAAAAACAAAACAAAGCAAAAAATGTGTATGAGGTTCTTTAGGGTCAAGGCAAAGCGTAAATTCAGAGAGGGCATTTCTGAAGATCAGTGGGCTTGTTTTGAAGCTTTTTAAAATTCTAGCAATCTACTTGAGCAGAGTCTTGATATTTTCATTTTGCTGATGATACATCCACAGGTCAATCAACTACCAGGTGTGCTAACAGAGATGGTCAGATATTTTTAAAATTACCCAGGAAAGCTGAATGTGTGGGTGCATGGCTGTAATCCCAGCACGCTAAGAGGCTGAGGTAGGATGGTAAGTGTAAGGTCAGCCTGGGCAACTCAGCAACTTAATGAGACCTTGTCTTAAACAAAAAGGGCTGGAGATGTAGCTCAGGGCAAAGGCCCTGGGTTCAATCCCATACCACACACACACACACACACACACACACACACACACACACGTTATTTAGGAATAGCACCATTGTGCTGATTCTTTCCCTTTCTCTCCATCACTATGTAGTGGACAGGACAGGGTCTGGGTCCAAGACCATGGATGTGAATTTGGCCCAAAGTCTCCAACAGCAGCGAGGACAGCATGGGTCCTCGCAGAATGACTTGTCCTGTTACAGCTGAACGCAGAGGACAGAGCAGAGGATGGCCTGGGAGCGCTAGGGAAGGTGGACAGAGGTGGCCTCTCTAGGGCCTCGTGGCATCTGCTAGTACTCAAGATGGGGGAATATAGCAGCCTGAGGAGCAAAGGAACCTGGGACCCAGGAAGGATCTGGGGTGAGAACTGAAGTCTATAGGTAGAGTGAAGAGAGAGACTTTAATGAAGAGGAGGGTGGTACCAAGAGTTAAAGCCAGCAGGAGACACATAAGACTTATATAGGCTCAAAGAATCCAGTTCCAGCCTCAGCCAGAAACCGGCAGAACTTTAGAGGCAGGCTGGCTGGGGTTATTCGCTGCCCCACCATGAAGCTGCAGCTAGCTTGCTGCGTTTAATCAGTCTGGTTCTGGGCTCTGCCTGACCACACTCTGATAGTGGCAGTGGAGACACCTTGAGTTGGACATTTTGGGTTTTTTTTGTTTTTTTGGTATCAGGGATTGAACTCAGGTCCTTGCTCTTGCAAGGCAGGAGGCAGAACCACTGAGCTAAAACCCCGGCCCTGTTTGGGCGTTTTAAAATCTATTTTTCTTGCTGTTTTTCCTCCTTTCTACTTCTTTTGTTTAGTTTCTCTTGATTGTTTGAACATAGTTTCTAGTTTTTTGCTTGTTCTGTTCTTGTTTATTTTTTCCTTTTCTCTTTCCTACCTGTCTTCACCAGTTTCCTAAAGTTTGTCCTCCAGCCTTGCTTCTGACTTCTTCCTCTTCTATTTCTGGTTTTTTACCCCCTGACCCCTTTTAAATCTTCTTCCTTAAGGGTAAAGAAGCCATATTAAGGCTATAATTTGTCATTTTCGAGGCTGTATTTGATGCTATTGTTACTGTTGATGGTACTGCGGTAGCCAAGGTGACCTAGTTGTTCTGGTCAGTCGTTCCTCCTGGTATCCCAAGACTGAGCCTGCATAAGGGCCTTACAAACAAATAAACCTACAGGCCAGTGCCAAAGAATTGGCAGCTGGGCCAAGTAGGTGGAAACTTCTCATCCCCAGTAAATTGAAGAGGTAGGGTACTACTGCAGACTCAAAATCCAAAAGCCAGCTACACCTGGAAGACACTTATGAGAAGTAATCATTTCCTAATGGTTCTGAACACTGGCAATAAAGCTAATCACCGTAAGTAATTTGCAAGCATCAACTCAAGAATCAAATAAGAAACTCAAGATGGGGTAGACTGGGGGTACCATCCTGGAGGTGTAACATGGCGCAGACCTACGAGGTCTGGATTTCCTGGACAGTTTTCAGGGACCCCACTCCTAGAAGATTCTGATGGGGGGGTACCAGGGATCAAACTTAGGTCCTTGCGCTTGTGAGGCAGGCAATGGAACCAATGAGCGAAATCCCTGGCCCCATTAGAAGATCCTGATTTAACTGACCTGGCTGAGACCTTGGCTCTGGGGACTTTGGAAAGACCCATGGATGATTCTAAATGTGCATCCAGGGCTGGGAACCATTGCTCCCAGAGGGGTTTGGAAGCAGGCCTTCCCTCTTTGGACTAAATAAACTATAATTATTCCCAGATGATTTGAGAATGGATGGGTGAAATCTATAGATAAAAGTTTGATCAAGCCTCCTACTTGTCTAAACTATTCGTTTTGATGTTTAGAAAGGAGTATTTGTGAGGGACTAAATGTATAGACAGAAAAAGGCCAGGTCATTTAGGACAGCAGGTGTGCCGACCGAGGCTGTGAGCAGCTGAAAGGGGGGCTCCTGGTGTGGGGAGCCTACTTGGCTTTCTCTCGTTGGTCTGAGTTGGAAAGTGGGCGGGATGGTAGAGATCAGGGAATTGACCAGGTGACTGCAGAGCTGTGGTTGTTCCCAGGCTGGCTGCTGCAGAGGTCAGCACACCTGCAGCCCAAGCGTCCCCTCTCTCCATGATAAAGCTTTCTACCTGCTCTCCCTGCCTCTGTCTCTGCCAAATCCAAGTGGCTGGCTGACACACAGCCTCCAAGTGCTCTCACCTGGGAAGTGTCTGTACCCGTATTATTGGCCCAAGCAAGCGAAGTAATTTTTCTGGATCACTGTGGTCATAGGATGAAGATAACTCACAAAACTGTCATTTCTAGCCCAAACCACCTTCTTTTGAAATTCCTTATGTTCTTAAACTCATTAGCTCCAGAAAAACAGTTTTTTCTTTTCCTTCTTTTTTTCTGAGGGGGTGTTTTGAGACAGGGTCTCACTAATTCACTATTTAGCCCAGGCTGGCCTTGAACTCATGGTCTTCTGGCCTTGGCCTTCCAAGTGTTGGGATTACCGGTGTGCACCATGATGCTCAGCTTCAACATGCTTCTTTATCTCATAAGCGGTCCCACTGGGGACCAGTTATGTGAGCTGGACATGGGAACTCCTCACCCCCTTGGTCCCTTCCTGCTTAATCGCTGGACACTGCCCGTTGGACACTGTGAACATGACTTTAACCCGGGCTTCATGCTCTCTCTGCCCCCATCACTCTCCTTGTTCAGGTCTTCATGGTTTTATTCTGGGACCATGGCCCACACCCTCTTATTTCATCTCTCTGCCAGGAAGCTACTTCCCTTGAAGTAACTTCCCATGAAGTCAGGGTGATTTATCCCAAAAGAAAATCCAGCCATGTCATGCACGCTCCTCCTTAAAATCCTTCTGTAAAGAATGATGCATTATCTGCCCAGGGCAGCTCCCACTACAGCTTGGAGCTCTGCTGGTCCCCACCCCTGTCAGTTACCATGCATCAGGGAGCACCCTGGGCTAGGCTGGGCTGAGTCACTCTCCTGCCATGCTTAATCCTTTCTGTCATTATACTTTGCTCCACGTATTATAATGACTGTCACTGTTTTTCTTTCCTGCTAAGAGATTCTGTAGGGTCGGGACTGTATTATCTTTTATTTCTTCAACGTCTTACACAGGATCTGGCACCTAATAGGTTCTCAGAAAAATGTCTGTTAAGAAAAGAAAGGCTTTCCCCCAGGTAGTGTTGCTGGGCCTGAAAGTGTATGTTGAGTCAGACGTGGGTCTCTGCTCTGCAGAATGGGATTTGTTAAAGTTTTTAGAACAGGGACTACCTTAGGAGATAACTAGTGAAATTCTGAAAGGGAGAAGAGGGGAAAACTGATTACTATGCTCAGAAATGCATGGCGATTTAGGACAACAATAAGTACAACATGCCCAAATACAGGATGAGAGTTTATGTAACAAACAGCACCTGTCAGATTGCATATGCCTACGCGGTACCAAAATACGTTGTGAAAGTTGGCCTGAAAAATTACGCTGTGGCCTGCTGCTGACCTATAGCTTCTCAATGGTGGAGCATAATGACATCCCTGAAGACCAAGTGGAGGTGACCAGAGACAAATATCACATAGAAACTGTTGATGGTTAACCCAGTGCCTTCACCTGCTAGGGGGATGCAGGCCTTGTCAGGACTACAACTGGCAATAAGTTTTGGAGTCCTGCAGGGAGCAGGGGATGGAGGCTTTTCTACTGCTCAGAGCATCAAGCAATTCCCCGGCTGTCATTGTGAAAGCAAGTTCAGTGCAGAAGTACACTAGAAGCACTGCAGACTATAGTGGTACCTAATCTGCATGATGACAAGGGTTATAAGGAACTGTTCACTCGGTACAGAAATCCCAACGTAACTCCAGATGTGAAGGAGATGTGTAAGAAAGTGCATGCTTCCAGCTGAGGATGTCCAGTCTGCCCAAGAGAGAAGTTAAAAAGAACAAACAGAACTACCTCAAAACATCCCTTGTGTAGAAGAAAGATTAGGTAGCTCAAAAGGAGACAAGCTTCCTCAGGGCTCAGAAATGGACTGCTGAGAGCTAAATTGAACAATAATTTTCAGATAAAGACAGATTTATTGATCAAGCAGCTTTAAAAAAGGAGGAGAGGGCCCTGGGGATGTAGCTGAGTGGCAGTGCACTTGCACAGAGCATGCATGAGGCCTTGGGTTTGATCCTTAGTACTGAAAAAAAAAAAATCCCACAAACAAAAAACTCCAAACAAGAAGAAAAACAAAAAAACCCTAAAACTGGAATACAGAGAGGCTTTGACTGGCTAGGCTTTGCATGTCACTTATATTTTATTTTGTTTTATTTTTTATTTTTTTGGTACTGGGGATCAAACTCGGTACCTTGCACTTGCGAGGCAGGCGGCAGAAGCCCTGAGCTAAATCCCCAGCCCCATATCACCTATATTTTAAATCCCAGCTCTTTATAGTACATAATGTCTCAGCATACCTGTGGGTCGAAGAGAAACCACCTAATGCTTGCATCCGCGTTTACTCGTGTTCAGAAAAACCTTTCTTGAGAAGGTATGAACGTGCTTGTTTTTGTTTTCTTTTTTTTTTAAACCAAAATCAAAACTAACCTTAAATACTTTTGCACCAGGAATTTCAGTGATTGGTTCTTCTGAATAAGACAGATTCTGCTCCATAAAAAATTCTCGTATCCCAAGTTCAGAGATTTCTACACCAATTACACTGTGTCCCAGATCTGCAAACCTGCATAAAATCAGGTATTTATACTTTAACATTTATTTCAAACACAGCACTAAATAATGGGGTGAGCCTCCATAAATATGTATTTTCTTTAAGTATTCATGTGATTTCAGATTCACAAGGTTTTCACAGGTAGTATAAGGTAGTGGGTCTACATGTTCTTGAACCTTTTGTTATATGTGATTCTGAAAGATTGATTTATAAGAATTTAAATTTTGAAAAACTGTATCTTGAAATAGTGCCTTAATACAAATGTATTTGAATAGAGGAAATGCATTTCAAATTCCCCATTTTATCACTGCCCATAACATTTTCAGTGATGACAGGAGGGTCTATGTCTGTGCTGTCCAGTTCAACAGCCACTACACATGTTCGCTACTAGGCACTTGAGATGTAGCCTAACTGAGGAACTGAATTTTAAACTTTATTTGGTTTAAATTTAAATAGCAACCTGTGGCTAGTAACCACTGTATCAGAACACACAGCTCTAGAAAAATTAGCATCCATTTCTATAATAATCTCATAATTTCTACTTACTTACAATAAGCATTATCCAAAAACTTATTTTTTCTGGTAAGCTGTGTTATTATAGAAATCACAGTTTTGGTATCTTGGACTTACGAGAAAACAGTATTAACAGCAGAAATACCTAGTCATAATACTGAATTCATGTTGAATTACTATACACAAAAACATAGCTCTGCCATAATGCAACACAGGCTTCCCTAAAAATGACTATGCTATGCAAAATTGTGTAAAGAAATCAAAGGCTGACAGGGGAGCTAGGGGTCAGGGAATAGTACATAATTTTGTCAGTGACACTAAGAATAAAGACAAGAACCTTATGGTAATGGTTTCACACATACAAAATGGCTAAGGAATAGATAAATACTCCCACGTGTGGCCCTTTTCTGAAAAAAAAGACCTAAAGTTGACTTGCGGAAGTTGGTGAGAGAGGGCAGTTTGTGAATTATTGTGAGGAGATGGAAGGAGGTCATAGGAGGTGAAATGGACAGCTGTGACACCAGCCGAGGGGGGAGACAATTGCAGTACTGGGGTAAGCTCAGCACAGGGCACGCGCGCGCGTGTGTGTGTGTGTGTGTGTTGTATTCATATACAACCTAGTTCAGCTGGGCATAGTTTTCTCTTTTCTAATGTTTCTTGCCGATGAAGTCACAATTAGCAAAAGTAAAACTCATAAGATGCTCAAATTGTTTTCTAATACATCAATCTAGTTAGAACAAAATTCATACTCTTCGAACAAGACTGTCGTATTATCTACATACTTTTTTAATGAGGGAAGGGCAGGAATTATTTATAGTTCTAAAGTGAAATGTATTAATAGCTTATTTTTCATATTTTCTAAAAATCTGTAAAATATAGGGAATTTCTAAAATTCTCTTTTTTTGAAATTACAAAATATAAACAAAGTTGAATTGGTCACATAAGTTTTTACTTCCCATTCAACATACAGAAAAATGAAGCATAGCCTAAGATAGCCTGGCATAAAAACAAAATAAAAAACCAAAACCTAGATCATTTCACTTTAATGCTTTTTGGCCTTAGCTCATGATCTATTCACATGCGATATACCTATGGGCCTCATACATAAATTAATTACATAAATGAAAAATTCTCTAGCAACTTATGTATAATTACAGCAGATGTTTTGATATTTTAATACTTCAGAAACAAAATATTCAACAATCACATTTCACTGGTTATTTCCTTATATTTCTTTCTCAATGTTGCCTAAATCCTAGAGCTTCATTGTTACCGCTTATGACAGTGCCATTACCCAAACTGTTTATGGAGATAATATTGTGTCTTCTAAGCAGTTCCCAAGGTAACTCTTTGGGTTTGGAGGTTTGGTTAAGGCATAGGCCTAAAGCTGAAGTGTTCTTAATGTAAAGGGTCCCAAATGAATCAGCTACAGCAGCTATTTAACATATGCTTTTAGCTACAAGTTGTGAGACCGTGAGCTACAATAATTTCACCATCTCTACTGGAAAATCAACTCCAAATGCATGTATACTCTGTGGGGAGATCTCTAACATTTATACCAGGACACAGCATTTTTAAGTTACTATATTATCAGTAATCTTTCTCATACATCTTTTTTTCTTTACTGCTTAATGATCAAAATTCTCAACATTTGGGCTTATAAATGTATGCATGTCTTGGTAGGTATGCTTGGGTCTCTATCTTGTTATTACAACAGAGCTCAGTATAGAAAATGATGTCCAGGTTTGTGACTTTACTGTAACCCATAGTAACATTGGCTTGTTAATTACTATGAATTTTCTTTCCAGAGAATTACTTAAAAGGGATATTTTTTCAACACTGATTTTATAACATTGATTCATAATAACAAAAACTCCTATTTTCTCATAGGAGGAAGGAAAAGTTGAGCTGAAGAGAAGATTGTAAGAAACACTGTTCTGCTAAAAAGTCATAATGTGTTTTGAATTATGCAGTCTATCTCCATTTCAAATATTTTGCTAAATTCTTAAACCATCTATAATGATTTAACCGTGCACAAAGATTCAGGAGATGAAAGAAGAGTGGCTGGCTTTTCTCTTCCATTTGATTCCAAAGTAGTTCTTTTCTTTCAAAACACAACAGAGAAAAACAAAGTCATACTTGTATCTGCTCTTTTTCTTACTGTTTGAAAATATTATCTCTAAGGCTCGGTGTGGTGGCTCACGACTATAATCCCAGCACTTGGCAGGCTGAGGCAGGAGGATTGCTGTGAGTTCGAGACCAGCCTGGACTACAGAGTGAGTTCCAGGTCAGTCTCAACTACATAGTGAGACCCTGTCTCAAAAAACCAAAAAAAAAAAAAAATCTCTAATGATTACTTAATATTATCTTAACTATCAACAAGGGTCTACTTAAAGAATCCCTGTCCATTTCCTGACAATGGAAATTATAACTGACAACCTGTTAAATATTCTCCCACATGGATTCATCACCAAAGACAAATGTGTTGATGCTTATCTGTTTATACCATTTCATCTCCACTGCTTTTCCACAAAGAGGAAAAAACACTCTCAGTCTGCTCTCGCCTTTAAGAAAATTATCCAAATGTTTCTTTAACAGCCTGGGGAGAAAAATAAAAGTTGCTTGTGTCCAATGCAGAGGAATACAATGCAAAAGTACATTAATTTTCGTCCATTATCTCAATATTCCCAACAACCTTAATGAGGAGATAATATTAATGATTATACTCTCCAGTTTACATATAAACAAATAGGACAGTTAGGTAACTTGCTCAGTCACACAGCTAGTTAGTGACAAATTTGACTTATGTCCTGGGCTTCCCTGATTAGTAATTAAAACTTTTTAAAATTGCTTTTTGTCTGATATGTTTTTAAAATTCTACATTAATCTCCAACTTTATATATTTTTTTAACGTGATATGGAGAAGGAACCTCTAGAGCCATGACTTTTTTCAATATTTACTTTATGGAAAATTCTCTAAATAAGTTTAACGCTTGTCGTTAATTTCTTCTCTAGAGATGTGGCTCTTCTAAGGCCTTCTCTGTAACAGACATCTATGACAATGACTGAGAACGATGCTTTAAGCTTTCACTCAACATGCAAATGCACTAATAACTGCGAGGATGCTAATGACGATGATAATGGCATCTCCTGGGTGGCCGGGTGGCCGCCTGGAACAAGGATCACATATAATGACCACAGTAGCCAACACGGCCCCATGATTTATCACTGTGGCCACAGACACAACAGTGCTACTAAAATGTTGCTCAGCGCCTTGGTTCACTTGCTAACTTCTCTCACTTATCTCTTCTTCACCGCTAGACGACACTTTAACATCAAATTGCCACTACTTTTGAGAGCAGAGAAGCAGAAGTGTTGCTTTAGCATCTGCTACATGTACAATATAAACATCTGCTGTACATATGACTGACACACAGATGTGACAGGTGATTTTTTTAAAAAGACATATTTCCTAAGTCTTACATGCCATAAACTGGAAATAGCATAATTATTTTATACACTGAGGGAAGAAAACATATTGCCAATGAAATTCTGATGTGCCACGGATGCATTCTGACCTCTGAGATGCTACAATATGAAAAAATACAAAAAATGCATCTTAAAAATCAAATAACATACACTTGCATTGTTATTGCTACTTCAAAGTTAGTCTCTGATAAAGCATTTTTCTCTCATAGACCAAACATGTCTTACTGATGCCCTTCTGCTTGATGAAATCCAATTTTATGGTTCACCCACTTGTCTTGCCATTCTTCTTGGGTTATCATTCGGTTTTTCTGTACCTCACTATCAGGGTACTCATTAATATCAAGTGAAGTTCTTGCATCATTCATAGTTTTGTAGATATTACTGTCTCACAGGCAGATAACTCCAATGTCTAAATGGGAAAGATTATCAATGTCATTGAAGGGCACTGAAATTCTGTTAAACTAAATGTAAACAGACAGCTTTTAAAAAATAAACATCCAATAAAAAAACCATACAAAAATTACTTTACAATGAGTCTGGCAATGCAGGCTTTACTCATATTACATGTTAGGAAAGATCTTTAAATAAATTGAATTATACTTCATCACAGTGCAAAGGTTTGATTTCAATTTTTTTGGTACTGGGGATTGAATTCAGGACCTTGTGCTTACAAGGCAGGCACGGTGCCACTGAGCTACATCTCTGGTTTGATTTCAATTTTTAAGAGGGGGAAGGTGACAAAAGCAACCAGGCAGACCACAGTTTACAGTTTATCATTTTTGTAGGCTTAGAATTTCTCTACTATTTTATTCTTTTTAACATATTAATATTTACTTGATGCTTTTATTGGTGGTAGACAAAATATGAAGAGTTCAAAAGATTTGTTATGGAAATAGTAGTTTCCTTCCCAAAGAAAGAGGCAAGCAGCTATGTCTAAATCTTTTGCTGAGGCAAGCTATTTCAAATTAGCGTGCTGGTTTTGTACCTTCTCAACTTTTTCATTTGTAGGCATTATCTTGAGAAGATATGCAGCTCATTCTCTTTCAACTTGGCAATGCACACGCGCACACACACACACACACACACACACACACACATATATACACACACCCCATTTTTCATCTGTCTTATACCCTCATAGCATAATTTTGATGAAATATTTTAGGTGTACATTATTGTAACAAGGTAAATACTACTCATTGACAAGCCAAATGGTGTTTGTGATTACTTTTCCATGCAACATTTTAATTCAGTAGTTAATAATTGTCATGCTTATTTATGGAGTTTTCCTATACTTGTTAGTAATTCGACTTCAAGCTCTGTCAATTGTTGTCAGACAGGATTGTCACCAGCTAGTCTAGGTCCTTGCTTCAGTGATAATGAATGTTAAAATCAAGGCATTCAGCAGAAATTTACAGGAAAAAGCTTTAATTAAAAAATAAGAGAAAAAAAAATAAGAGGAGGGCCAGGGATTTAGCTCAGTGGTTCCAGCGCCTGTTTTGCAAGCCAAGGCCCCATGTTTGCTCCCTGGTACCACCCCCCCGCAAAAAAGGAAAATAAAAGGAAGTACAGCTCTGACAAAGACCAAGCTGGTTCCCTGACAAAGGAACGTAAAAGATAAGAAAAGGGCTTCCATTCAAGGGACAGAAAGGTACACAGGTCTGAAGTGGGGGCCTGTTCACAAAGGAATGGAGACCAGTATCATGGGGTGCTGTGGTGGGCCAGGGACTGGCTAACCACTAAGTCCTGACTTCATAGCTCCAGAGGAATCATTATGCTTTCGATTCAGTTGTCACTAAAGATTATTGTAAGAGGCTGGGAATTTGATTCAGTGGTTTTGTCACCTGCCTCGCAAGCTCGAGGACCCGAGTTCAACACTCGGTTCCCCCCACCAAAAAGATTATTTTTGCTTGGACAGTCTCAGTCTTGTGAAGTTGTACTGGAATTCAAGATCTAAGGCAGCAGAGGCTGAATGGCCCTATAAATTCAGACAATAACTTTAGTTACTCTTATCTTGATGTCATCAATCTGGAAGGAGGATGAGGTAGGTTAGCTGAATTCAGGGCTACGAAAATTTGTTTTGCCACCTTTTCTTCAATGATCAACACACCTGTATCTTAAGTTTTCAGGTAATAAGGGATTCACTGCGGTCAAGTTTGGTTTAGCTCTAGTCACCTGTTAGGTATCTGTAAGCCCAAATGAAAAGTCATGAGTTTTAGCAAAAGCTGCTGATTGCCTCAGAAGAGAACACAAATCACGTTTTTCATGAGTGACAGGTTGAGGAGCCAAAAGTTTATTTGTCCTGCCTTAAAGTATTTACTCTGACAGTGTCATGATGACTGTTTATGCGTTTTAAAAAATCTTGTTATTGGTGGAGTTTCAGGAAGAGGCAAAAATAGGTATACGTGTTCAGCATCTTATTTCTGTACTCAAAGTTTGTATTTTATTTTGTTTGGTACCGGGGTGATGAAAGTCAGGACCTTGAAGTTCCGAGGCAGGCAGCGGAACCACTGAGATAAATCCCCAGCCCTCAAAGTTTGTATTTTAGATAATTTTCTCATAGCTTCTTTTTTTTTCCCCCATGGGAAAACATAAAGGGAACTGAGGATAAAGAACAAATAAATGTAATTGCAGATCCATCAGAATATACTGTACAAGGAAAATGCAGTTCACTGTCAACTTTACAGTTTCAAGGACAATATAATACCACAATTCCAACATTCCCTTTAAACCATTAGTAAAAACTGAGCTGGCTTGCATTATGCTGGCATGCTATTACTGGTTTTTCCACCTTAACAATTTATCCACGACAGAGCAAACACCACAAAAAGCAGGAATTTGAGGAAAAGTTCCCCTTTGTTGCACAATTTGGCTTCAAAGCATCTCCGGTTAAACGCGACGGCACCTCCATCATTACGGGGAAAACAAATTCACTTCTTCACAAATTGTTAACGAATGCTAGAGTTTTCTAAGAGGTCAGTGGGAAATATCTATTAATGTGGAGACCAGAAAATCAAGCGAACTGCACTTTCCCTCGGTCTTTTTATGTCTGTGTCATAAAAGGGAGTCACCGTCTTTTATCACATAGCCAGAGCAACCTGGAATTGCACCACTCTTTCCACATAAACTTGACGGGTAACACCATCTTGAATACAATCACTTCTTTAGCTGCTTTAACGACTTCTCAGTGTGTACATTTGTTCGCGTCATTTCTGGGGCATAAAAAGTCTCTTGGGAAAATAGTAAGAGTGCAAAGTATACGAATCAGAAAAAGGAATCTTCACAATTATTCTTACTCATACATGTTAATTTAAAATGAATTCTTTGTTCCCCAAGTCCTCCTCTACCTCGAACCCCCCCCACCTATTTCTGCTTTATTTTTAAACTTCCTTAAATTGAAGAGTAATTTCTCCGGTGCACACAGGGCTCGGTGAATTTTACATTGGCGTCTCCAGTCCGCACAGCGCCCATGTCCGACCTCCCAGCCGCCGGGGCATCACTACCCGAAGCCCGTACTCCTCCTTTCCTAAAAATCGCAATACTCCAGGGCTTTGCGGGTCACTTGGCTCCCGCACTTAAACCCTTCACTGTGGACCTCATTACTCCTTCGGTTCCCTGCGTCCCATTCTGCAGCGCGGACACCCCATCCCGGTAGAATTATCACCGGCTCACTCACTCCATCCAAGCATTCCCATTCCCCCCCTCCCCGGCGCCAGGGAACCCACCTCGCATTCGCCAGCCGCCAGCCACTGTCACCTCGCAGCTATTCCCACCTCCGGG